TATACCCCAGGCATATTTATTAAATAAATACTAGTTAATGTTTACTGAGTAATCACTATGCACATAGGCACCGGTATTTACACATAAAAGCCTTTTAAAATCTTCACAACAACCTTACGAGGTAGGTGCTATTATTACCCCATTTTACAATGAGAGAACTGGGACACAGTAACTTGCCCAAGGGTCACACTGCTTGCAAGTGTCAGAGCAGGATGGGACCCCAGGCTGCCTGATGTCCAGGTTCCTGCAATTAGGCCAGTTGGTGAAACAGTCAAATAAACAGTGTCACTAGGGAGGAGAGGAAGTAGAGGGGACTCTGTAGGCACTGGTGGGGAGGTCAGGGAGGACTTCCTGGAGGAAGGGACATGCAGAAGGAGATAAGAAGGAAAAACAGGAGCTAGCTGGGCAAAGCAGGTAAGGGTGAGGAGGCAGGGGAGTGTTCAAAATAGAGGGGACAGTGTGGGCCAAGGTCTGGCTGACGGGAGATCATGAAGCATTATTAAGCACGTGGGAAACAGAGTACACCTGGGGTGAACGAAAGGAGAGATGGGGCGGAACAGGCAGGATGGCCAGACCCTGTAGAGTCTCGCAGGCTGGACCCAGGACTGCCAACTCAACTCTGAGGGCAATGAGGAGCCACAGAAAATATCTACTCCCTGGGGGCTCACCCAGGAAAGAGATGTCTCAACTTCCTCATTTTTCTTACTGTGAAAAGTTCCTCTTGCTGTCTGACCTTAATGCCATATGCTAGTTTCTTATATGTGGGGCTCAGCAAGGGGTCCTGGGACTGAGGAGGCTAGGAAAACTATATGGAGCGGGGACATGCTGGTGACATTCCCACTGCTTGCGCTGAGCCGTGCTGCCTCCCCGTCAACACTCCCCAACTCTGCTTCTCCCTTTTTTCAAGACGCCTTCTCCTTGTCCTGCTTTAGAGTCAGATCTTAGCCCTGGAAATGGCTCTTAAGACCAGCCTGGGGCAAGTGAAGTGAAGGTGGGCTCTAGAATCTGAAGATTTAGATTTGAGTCCCAACTCCAACAGCTTGCCTTCTCCTTGTCCTGCTTTAGAGTCAGATCTTAGCCCTGGAAATGGCTCTTAAGACCAGCCTGGGGCTAGTGAAGTGAAGGTGGGCTCTAGAATCTGAAGATTTAGATTTGAGTCCCAACTCCAACAGCTCCTCTGTTGTGACTCTGACCTTCAGTCTCCTCATCTGTCAGACGGGAATAAGAATTCCTGCTCTGCACTACTCCAGACAGTGCTGTGGAGCCAATGAGGTGCTGCTTGTGAAAGCAGCTGGACAATTCTAAGTAGTTCTTACAAATAAGGGCTTGGGCGGCTGGTTAGCTCAGTCACTTAGAGTATAATAATAGCTCCCATTTACTGAGCACTCACCATGTGCCAGGCACCGGTCTATGTGAGTTACATGTGAGTTACATTTGGTAACTCACCTAATCCTCTGGCAACCTGAAGAAGCACTGGATCCCTGTTATCAGTCCATTTTACAGGTGAAGATACTGAGACTCGGAGGTTAAGAAGTCTGTATAGGCTGCACAGCCAGACAAGTGGAGGGGCTGGGATTCAAACCCAGGCTGTGGGAGACTGGAATCTTAACTCCTTATGCCATGTGGAATTCAAATGCAGAGGGACACCTGAGGGCAGGAGAGGGGCATGACTTGCTTAAGGTTGCCCAGTAAGTTAACAGGAAAAGTAGGTCCCCTCGTCCCCTCGTCCCCTCTCCCGTGTGCCCTCGCCATGGCTCCTGTAGGCCTGTGGCCAGACCTCTCCCTGGGGGTGGCATATCCCCTGAGGAAAGCTTGTCTATAAAAGGCAGTGGAAGGGAGCCGGCCTCTGAGATCCTTCCCGGGGCAGCTGAGGACACAAAGCCGGAGCTGCAGCCGCAGCTTTTTCCACACAGGCTCCAAGTGGCCTGGGTTTGTTGTGACAGGATCCAGGCGCACCCTGCAGGGTTTTCTGGCAAGGACCGCAGAGGAGGCTGGGGTTACCGACTTTGCAGAGTGCACGGAGGGGGCTGGGTGTCCCCCCACGACCAGGACCCAGGTTTCCTGCCTACTGATTTGGACACTGCATTTGTGTCACCCTGGGCAGTGTCCTTTCCTCTCTGGGTGGGCTTTGGTTGTCTCATCTGTATAATGGAGATATGATGACAACAGTCACTTCAACCTTAGCTCCTTTCATTTTCCCGACGGTTCTGTGAGAAGGACACTATTCCTGCGGGCTGGGAGAGGTTGAGGGGCTTGAGCAAGGTCCTGCAACCCCCCAGTGGGGGGACTGGGGCTTGACCCCAGGCGGTCTGGACCCTGTGCCGCTGCTTCACAGATTTAAAACTCCGTCCACCTCTGCCCCTTCTGGGATTCTGGAACTGAGTGGGACAGACCTAGGATTAAAGGGCAGGCAGCCCCTCCGCTCTTCTTCAAACCCTTCTCACTTTTAACACTCCCTGAGTCTCCCCTGGATCTTGCAGGGCAGGGGCTGCCCCCTGTCCCAGCCCCCACCAGCACACTTCCCACCAGTTTCTGTGATAAGTGGTAGGGGAGAGTCCCTGGGCTCAGGACGTGTGTGTGTGTGTGTGTGTGTGTGTGTGTGTGTGTGTGTCCTGTGTGTGTGTGCGTGTGTGTGTTGGGGGGTTGTATAGGCGTAGGGTGGGCTCCAGTCTGCTCTGCTCTATTTATCAGTCCCTCCCACCCACTCCCCCTTCAGATTCGGACTCAAATCTCCTTCTTTGTCCCCAAGAGCTCCAGAGGTAGGGGAATCCTGGTACCTTGGCAAATCTCTTCCGCTTCATCGCCAACCTCTTCTCCTGACTTACTCTCTCCTTCTTCCAAGCCCACGTCAGTGAAGGGAGAGGGTGGTGGGTCTCCCCCAAAACACTTTGCCTCAATAGCCCAATCTCCACTCCCCCCGCTTCCTCGAAGGGCAGCTCCTGATGGTCCTGTCCCTTCCACGCAGACCCAGCAAGGCAGGACGTGGGGCAGCAGGCAGGGACCCACGGGACCTGTGAAGGCACCCCCCACCCCAGTCCTGCCTGCCTCTGAGGGGCCCAGCACTCTAGGCTGGGAGGCAGCAGGCCTGAGTTCTGTGTCCATTCCCTTCTCGAGTCTGCATGAGCTTGGGCGAGCCTCTTCCCCTCCCTGGACTTCAGTTCTCACATCTGTAACACGGAGGGGCACAGATTTAGTTCCCTTAAAGTGCTGATCTCCGGGGTCTGTGATCCTGAGACCATCTCTTTCATCCACAGCCTCCTCATTTCTCTCTCCCTTTACTCTGAGCCCCAAGATGTGCAGAAGCTGAGGACAAAAGGTTAAATGAGTTAGGGCTGGCAAGGGTGCCGAGTGCCCTCTCTACTCCTTGAAGAACAAAGGCACGTACCTGGTGTCCACAGGCAGGCGGGCTGTTGTGTTCACTGCTGGCTGTAGGGACCAAGACGGCTCAGAGCCCAGGTGAGGAGAAAGGGGAGGCGCCAGCTCACCTCCAGACTCACCTTAAGAGCAGCCCGCTGCCCTCCCTCCTCCCCGCCCTCTCCCCGCCCCCACCACGCCCTACACGTGGCCGGGACAGCAGGCAGACCCGCCCCTGCTGTCTGAATGAGCTCGGGTGGGGCTGGCAGGGGCTGGCACGGACTGGGCCGGGGGGTGGGGGTGTGTGTGAAGGAAGCATTGGGTGGTGGCCTGGCGTGCAAGGGGCTCCCAAGCTGCCTGCTTGGCCCTCCTGCTGCCCCTTGAGGTCAGGGGAGCCCCTGCTTGGATGGGGCATTGCTAGGACTAAGGTGTGCTCTGGGAATCCCTCTCATCCATGTGCCAGCGAGGGGAGACTGGGAATTGGCAGAACTAGCAGAGAGTGAGGGTCTTTCCTTGGCAAAGCAGGATGCCAGGGGGCAGGAGACCCTCCCATAACCCTTTCCTGTGTGTCTGGGCTGGGTCACGCCGTGGTGGGCACTGGGTAGGGGCCCAGTGGAAGTAAGGCTGGGCCCAGATCTTGT